TAAAGCATTTACGCCTTAAAAATCACTGCTTCTCCCACGCTGTTGGACAGACAAAGGACGTCCCGGAGGGGCTGCGAGCCGAGCTGCTGCTAACGTTAGCTCAGCTTGTTTCTCGGATAAACTTAGATCCCAGACGTCCGCATGACTAAACTCCTTCATCGCGTTCAAATCCTAGAGTTACCAAAAGCAGCCAGATTTCTTAAACAGTGGATGGTAAAAATGTGGCTTCAAACTGGATCAGAGCCGATAAAGATGGAAAGACGCTTTGGGTTGGTGGTTTGAAGATAGTTGATTGTTGAGTCTCATTCCCAGCATCGATGTACGACACACTGGAAATGAGACTCAACAATCAAGTATCCCTCTTGGCTCTGATTGGTTGTTTTTGTTTGGGCCTGGTAGATTCTTACTTATACCATTATTAACAAGAGGAACCTGATTCTTTCACAGATTATCTGCTACATGGAAAGTTTCAGAAAATATGAAAAAGTTACCTATGCAGCCTTAAGGTAAAACAAGACATCCCTTTAATTTGTCTCTGTGTATTGATTCATGTAGCATCATCAGTTCAGACTGGAGTCAAAGGAAAAAGGATGCAGGAAATGTTACAGATCTGCCCTCATCACAGGTGGCTCCAGCTCCTATTCTTCTTTTTCTTCTCTTTTTGTATTGGTGACGTGCAGAGGCTCAAGCACACACAGGAACTTGTGATACAGCTGCAGTAGTGCTGTTTTCTTTCCACAACTAATTATTCATTTTCATAATTGACCGGTATTTTTTGCAATTCGACTATATAATCACATTTAGAATATACGTTGACAGTCCTGGAACTCTCTGCCATCATTACCAAATGGTTGATGAATTATTTGCTTGTTTCAGCTTGACCTAAATCTCAGTTTTTTACTTCCCACAACCGAATATTAATTTTCTCCATCAAATGTTAGTTTGGGTTTTTTCTGCACTTTTATAACATAATCAAATTTAGAATATTGGTCCTCAACAATTCATCATACAAATAACTAATTTGTCTTAATTTTTATGACTCAGTCAATTTTTATTTTGCTTTTAAAGGCAGCATATCTAAATGTCATTCTACAACCTTGTAAATGACAATAAATAATATATATAATAAATAAATCCTTTTGTGAGTTCTAAGACTTTATGGAGTGCAGTAGTAAATCGCTGCCGAGCTCTATTAAGGTTTTCACAAAGAAAACTTCCACACTTAAATTTTATCACAAACCTTTTATTGGACAAATATAAGGACAGCTAATGCTTAAAGGACCAGTGTGTAGTGGTGTCTAGCAGTGAAGTTGCAGATTGAAACTAACTGAACACCATTTGCGTCTGTATCTGACAACCTGAGAATGAGAGCAACCTGTATGTAGGAGAAACTACGGTGGCCGCCAAACTTCCAAAAAACATGAAAGGCTCTATCTCATGTAAAAATATAACATGCACAATGTCTTTAACGCTCTTCCCCCACCAGTTTGCTCAGTTTGTTGTTTTTGATGCTGGAAACAAACACTCACCCAGTATTTCCTACAGTTCTTGTATCTCTGGAAATAGGCAGAACACATGCTCTTATTGTAGTTGGAGGCATCCAAACACTTGTGGGAGGCGTCGCTTTCCTTAAAGAGAGCAGTTCCAACAACAGGACAGGATTAGAGACACTTACGTCCCAGCTGCAGGCAGATGTTTGACACAATGCAGGATGTCAAGGGTCAGGGAAGGCTTACGTCGATGCATGGGTTAATGTCCTGATTCCGAAGCTTTCGTGCATTTTTATCCATTTGGATCTGTGTACAGATGTACAATAGAGACAGGTTTAGTTTTTTTTCTCAGAAGTAGGGTGATAAAAAACACAGTAACCATTGAAAAATGTCAAATCATCATAATTCTAATAGTTGTTTTTTTTATTAAATCTGTGATGCAAAAATATCACTCCCACACTATGTGGGAAATTGGGTTTTTACCATATTGTGCAACCCTATTTTTAAAACCATTATGAATGCGATTTAAGACCTATTTTATGTCCACACTGGCAAAAACCCTTTTAAAAGTGAGACTTGATACAAGAGACATTAACTTCAATATCTGATTACTGAATTTTAGACTTTTTAAGACAGTGGGGACACCCTGTATACTGTATGAACAACTGACAAATTCAAGACAATAGACAATATGTTTCTTCTATGGTGGCAGCATTTCATTAAATGGACATTTTAGATGGTTTTGTGCATCATCTTATACAAAAGCTTTAGCCTGACATGTTGGAAACTTTCTCCATTTGTCCACACAGCTTTGTAATGATGGTACCACATGTGGGTCCGGCAACTGAGGAGGCTGACAGACCTCTTGTCTTCAATTTAAATAGTCACTAATCACCTTTTTGGGGACAATACCAACCTGATAATTGAGAGTAAAAACCATAGGATAAGTATGATGTTTTTAATAGAAACACACATGTAAACAAAGAATTTGATAAGGATCCCTCAGATTTGTACTGTACTGCAGTTGTATGTTATTACCTCCAAAAGGTTTTGGCAGATATCACTGAAATAATGTGATGTTTAATTGCAACCTTTTTCACGTCTGTCAAGCTCGTAGACTTTACCCAGTTTATATTCATAGTGCCACAGTCAATATTAACTACAGTTTAACCTTCACCTTGCTATCACTAACCACACTGTGTGTTGGTGGAATACAAAATGTTATTTATTATTTCTATTTAAATGATTTCAGCATGCCGAATTGAAGACTGACTCTCCCTTTTGTACATAATATATTTATTCGTATCGAGCAGGGGTGTACATTTTACAATAAACACGTCTTACTTAAAATGCCAGATTTCTCAACGGAGTTTGGCGGGGCTGGGTGACCCCCACCACATGTAACGTTGCTACATTGTAGCAAACTGCCCTTCACTGATCTTACGTAACTTCGTAGCGGCTTTTTAGTTAGCCTAGGTGGAATGACTAACGTTAGGGGTAAATGGAGAACCTTATACCTACCTTTTACAAACAGGCCTACAAACTTTTATTCCGGGTAGGCTAATCACTTGTGGATGCACCTAATATCCAGTGAAGGTTATCCCGTTTTTTAAATGAACAAAATAACTAGCAAGCCTATACACGCATGCTATTCAAAAAAATATGTTGTCATTCATATCCCTTAGAATGCCAACAAGGCTCCAGAAAGCTAGCGAGCAGCTTTACACTACATGTGGCTAACTAATAAAGCTACACAAACCATAGGCTATAACCTCCCCGTCATACTCAAGACAGCCCCAGTGTCGTTACTGCAACAGCGCACCAGGAAAATCACCCACATCGTCACCAGCAACTGACAGCAACGTCAGCCAATAGGAGCCCCGGAAAACTAACAACGTAGACTGACACGCTAATGAGCCAATAGGATTTATTGGCTGACATGTTGGTCTTCCTATCGTTGTAAATTGGACTAAACCAATTTTAAACGATTGACAGAACATCTAGCAAGTCCAAAAATTGAGTTTTATTGAAAGGGACTGTAGCTGACATTGAAGTGAAAGTGGCAGCGGCTTACACAAATCAAAAAGCACAAGTGGGCGGAACTTCGCGTGGGCGTGGCTAAACCCTAGTGCGGTTGCATCGCAGCGCATACACAATGGCTGCTCGAAAGAGAGGAAAGCAAACAATTTTCAGGCCCGCCGCGTCTAGCAAAAAATATGAGAAAAAAATTATTAAAAATTCGGAAAATAGTTGAAAGTCAAGAAAAACTCTACAGAAAGGATGTTAAAGCGCCCGGGGTAAGTTTGATGTAAATTAAGCAAGCGGTCACTCAGTTTTTGAATTAAAATATCGGGGTTATTTAAATTATGAGAGAGGGGTGAGCTGGGGAAAAGTTTGTGTTAATCAGTACCCAGTTTGGGACCACAGAGAAAACCAAGGGAAGGCAAAAGTATTGAAGTTTTTAAATAAAATAAATAATGTCACCGGTGATAATAGTGTCACGGTGCGTGTCCACGAACATTAGAGAGCACAGGAACCTAGTAAAATTAAGCAAAGTTAAGTAAAGTTGAACATAGCCTCCCCACTTAGTTTATTTTTTTAAAATATAATTACAACGGCTGTGCGATGAGCACCGACAGCAACAGGCGCACTTGAAACCAGCAATAATGTCAATTATCCTGCTATCCGCATTCACATTTATTTTCGCCTCATAGAAGTTACACTCTTCATCATAAGCGGTGTCAACACGTCCTTATCGATTCAAGCATCTCCTTTCCAGAACGCCAAACGCAAGCATGCAGCGGCCACACTGACGTTGTGTCACTGTCTTTTAGGCTATGTGCTAGACCGCATTTCCACCCACTGCAGGTATCGATCATACATGTGACAGTTCGGCTGTGACCCGCCGTAAGGCTGACAAACAAGAAATTGCTTGTCAATAAAGTAGCAAAATGGAGGGAGAAGTTAAGGCAAACTAATTAGGCAGCAGTGTTTAAGATCTGCCTGAGAGTCTCAGCCTGTCGCAGACAGCTTCTTCTAACGCCAAAAGTCAGATTGTGTTGAGTTGGGTCGGGTGGCAGGTTGCACTGTGTAATTCCTATTTACAAGATGTGCTCCTATAGCTGCCAGTGGAGCCCACAGGAGCCTGTCAGCTCAACACAAACTGTGGATAGCACCTGTGTTATTGTGTGTGGTGTTGTTGGTTAGAAAGCTTCTATTCCAACTGTTCCTGAGGGGAAGTGTGTCAATGTTGGTCTCTGTTTACACCTGACCCATACCTTAAACCAGACCCAAACTCTAATCACATGTGGAAGTAGTCTGTTGTGTAGCTGCCCTGGCAGGATATTTACTCTTTTAGAGAATGGCTGCTGATTGAATGTGTTTGTGTTCATCAATAATATAGTCCTGATGTGTAATCAGTCCCTCCAGGAAGTTGCAATCACAACAAAAAGTCAAATTCAACCAATTTCTGTGAATTCCGCTCAACCTTGCAATTTTATCCACTGACCAAAAATGTTCCCCAAGTTCGACCAATCACTGTAGCTTCCTGTGAGTTTCACCAATCATAGCAGTCCCCTGCACACAGTGCACATACATCACCAAACTACTAGCAATTCTATTCTCGCTGGAACAGCTTGGTTTAGATTTTTAATGAATTAAACACAAAAATCCCAACTATTTTTGCAATTTTCACTTTCTCCTGCAATTTCATTGCAAAAAATCCCTAAAAACAGTGTCACAGCTGCAGTGAAATCAGACATTTTAGGCCACAACAATCCCAAAACAATTCTGCGAAAAACAGGTTTGCATGAGAGATGCTTCACACCAGACTTTAAATGCTATCCAGGCTAACAGCAAATGTTGTGTATGTTTGATTTATTGTTGAAGGAATAATGTTGAGATTAGAAATCTGGCTTCATTTTGTCTATCTGTAGCCTAAGCTTTGCATGTAAGGCTATAAGTTCCTGCTCAATTCTCATAGTCATGAAAGTTGGACCTTAACAGCTTATTGAGTTTCTTTTTCTATTTAAGCATTATATAAATGTTGATAAATGTTTTAAGAATTTCAAGAATTTTGGTTTTCTCTGCAGTATAATTCATGTGTTACTTTTTACAAGCCTCCTGCCTGCCTGGGTTATTTTTATATAAATGCACCGAGTCTGAAGCAGTTTTATTTCTTGTCCCGACTGCAGCCGTGATTAGGCAGAAATGTTTTTATGTGCAATATGATCCTGCTGTTGTGAACATGTGTTTTCAGCTAAATGACAACTCTCCCCAAACACAGCTCTTGTAAAACATCAACTACTGGGCTTTTTGTCTTGAAATAAATATTTTTTTAACTTTAATTTACATGAAAGAAATTTCCACAAAATGATGATAATTTGGAAGATATTTAGGATTTGTTTCTATATCTGTTGATAAATTCTATTTAGTACATAAAGTTGAGACAAGCAGCTGAAGATACAGAATGTATCAGTGTTTTCTTATAATCATTAATGTTATTTAAAATGAACAGAAAACAGACGTTTTAGAAGAACAAAATATGAATTATAAAATGCATTAAATGTGTTATGCTGAAATGTTTAAATTTAGGCTCAGTATTGAAAATTAAATAATTTAGCTTTTTTGTTAATTACTGATGTATAAAAGTTAGGTTTCAACCACTGGTAAGTCTTAATTATTGCAAAATAGTTTACTGTTATCCATGTGGTTATTTGCAGCAGTTTAGTTCAGTTTCTGTCAGTTATGAATCACTGCAGACAATTAACTCTTCATCTCAATAGCAAAAAGAGCGACTCCTCAGCAACTCTTCTTTGAAGTTACAGAACATTTTAAATTAAATAAAATGACATGAAATGAAATATATTTTTCCTTTCCACAATCAGAAGGAATAATGTGATATCTTTCTTTCTTTAATTGTGATGGATTCGCAGTGTGCTGTGTGGATGAATGCTTGTTAAAGCTGTTCACCAGTACAGATGAATGAGTTTTTTTAAATTTGCTTTGCAGAACGGATGCAGATAATGCAATTATGCTGGCTAATAATTCTCTATGTGTGAATTTTGAGTCTTACAATAATAATATCATATGAGAATGATGGCAGATGTGATCTTATCTGTTTGTATTCATCTCTGCTGGATATTTTTCAGCACAGTTGAATCTATTTTTTATTCATTTAAATGTTTCTTGTTAAACTTGTTCAGGAAAATTCTGTAGACTTCTTTGTTTGAAATATACAATTAATCTGTTTTATTCCTTTGTCTTTTTATGGAATCTCAGATATCAGTTAACAGAAGTTTCTAGATGGTTCAGTCTGTAGTGGGAGCTGGTTCATTGTGTGTGAGCTTTCTGGAAAAAAGCATTTTATCTAAGCATGAAGTGGTTTTGGCTAGAGGGGTGTTACAGATTATATCTAAAGCACCACTGGCAGCCATTTTTAAAATATTTGCGTTGTGGCAGCAGTAGGATGGAGAGGTCAGTGGTCAGTCTGTTGAGACCTCCATGTGATCATCTCTTCTCGATCTCATCTCGACCTTGCAGAGGGGTCAGAAGTATCAGATTAGATCAGAACGTACCTGGTATTAGTAGTTGTAGTTGTATCTGTAGTATTACTTTTCTTAATATTCTTGTATTATTATTATTATTATATACCTACATGTGTCCATATAACTTGTTAATTTCTATATTAATTCCAACTATGGATTGGAATTAATAAGATTTTATCGATACTTATATAATTCAGTTGGATTCTTTGTCAAATCCCTTATTGGTTCCTTATCAGTTTTCTGTGTGGAAACAAGTCACACTGCAAAAGTGTCAACACAACTGTTTTATTATCTGAGAGTCTGAACACAGTGTAGTAACAGAGTAGAGTTATAGTAGTGTGAGTTTCTTTGGACCGTTTCTTCCTATCCACCATGACTCTTTCTTGTTGCAAGTTTCCAGCAGCGTAGACATGAATTTGATGTCACTGTTTTGCAATGTGCAACTGTCAGAAAAACATGCTGGCATTGATAAAAGGAATTGATCAACTCGGAGACATACGATTCTAATGGATATGACAATTTGGAACTGGTTCTCAACAGGAACCAGCTCTCAATTCCCATACTAATTTCCAATGCAGAACTTTGCCAAAGCGGTACATAACATCAGCATACAGGATGTACCATACTTAAAAACACAGTATATTACTGGCTCGGTACATATTACATTTGGATATATGGTTTTAGTTTAATTTGTTAGTTTCAGATTTCCGTTTGTCATATATTATTTTGTTAACCACCATGAGCATCCTCTCATCTGTCTGTCTGTCTGCTTTCTATTAATTTCCACACAGTATGACATTTGGCTTGCAGAGTCATTGCTTGAAGTAAGCCGGTTCATCACGGTAGTTCAACACTATAGCAATTAACGAGTTGTGCTGATATGCTGGTGTTTTCATGACTGTCTATCCTATGTGTCACACTTAGATGGGATTTCGACAGTAAATGATTTTGTTTTACAAAATATGTGCAGTAACTACAGAATGATGAAATCAAGATTTTTAACGGTACATTCTCTAACAAGCTTCATTGTGAGCTTGGCAGGAATGAGTCAGTCAAACAGTCTGCAAATATTACTGATTGTAAGGCCCCTGTAGGATGTCTCACACACTGGGGCTTAGGAGGAAGAGCCTCCATTGAACACAGGGTTGGATCCCCCATCCACGTGCCATAGTGTCCTTGGGCAAGACCATTGACAGTATGTACACTGAACCCCAAATTGCTCCAGATGTTCAATGCTGCCAGTAGTACTGCCCTGCAAAGGCTACGCTAACAATGATAGTGAGAAAGGTTTTTTTGACTGTCCAGCCAAATGCATTATAGGTAAGACAGCAATTATGGGCGTATTCTACATTCCTTTTCGTGGCTTAAATATCATGACTCTGCCTTTGTTTTTCCTCAAACAGATACATAGGTAGTGCAAAGGCAAAGTGCAGTAACTGCAGTCTTATTGTCTCATTTCTGTGAAAATCTAATTAGATTTCTTGTTACATTATACCTGTATTTAATGGTTTTATTGTTTGCATGTTTAAAATGTTGAAATAGATAAGTAATTAAGAAAAATTCACACAATCTTCAAGTGTTCTTTTTAAGAGGTGTTACCTATTAACATGGCTTGACAGATTAGTTTAATTGTACAATTTATGAAATCCTCTTTTTTTAGAATTCGATTTCTGTCTTAACATGAATAAATATAAATTTTATAAGTTCCGTAAATTGTGACTTACCTACATAATATGCAGGATAACACCCGATTATGGCTGTACTATCTAAGATTCCCTTCTTTTGATTGTTCTGAAATTGGATTTACAGACACTGAAGCTTTATTCATTAATGGCTGTCTCAAGCCACAGTAAGTGCACCTATGCGGTTTGTCTTGGGTTTTGGTGGGACCTTGTCCTTCTTTTTTTCGAAGACAGAGCAAGATTGAAATTTGATAATTTGTTAGTTACTAGTAGTAGTATTGCATTATTATTATTATTATTATTATTATTATTATTATTATTGCATCATTCAATTGATGTTGCTTGTATAATATATGTTTGTATATCTGAAGTCTTGTAACAAAAATAATTTCCCCC